GGAGGAGGATTCATACAATTTTGCGACTAGAAGCACATGCGCACACATACGGGTGAAAAGTCATATATATGCAAGACGTCTGCGGAAGGATTCACATGTTCTAGTAATTTGAAGACATACTTGCTCACGCATACTAGTGAAAAACCGCTTCAGTGCAAGGTTTTCAATAAGCAGTGCTATAAAAAAAGTTATCTAAATATTGTTTATACCCGAATTTACATTAATCGGTGGAGAAACATGCATGTGCAGTATTTACGAGGCTTATCTCAACCAAGATGAAAAGTGAAGAAACTTAAGTTTATAGATGTCAGCGATAATACAATCAAGTATTATATGAAAAAAGTTTCAGATGGTTTAGTGATTTAATGATATGTATGTATACGAAGTTTGGTGAAAATTTTGAAGTGCAGTATTTGGATATCTGAAGAAACAAACTTCCATTCTAGTAGCAGGCTGATCAAATATGTTATTTACTGGAAAAAATTCAGAATCTGAATATTTGAAGATACATAAGTGCACATATCGTTTGACGACTATCGATTAACTTCAATTCGTACTGATCGGTGCATGCTACTTCATTAACAGCTGCAATAATGATAAAATTATTGTTATCATATCAACATTTACACGTATATATGTGTATATCAGGAAACTGTAGATGACCAATGGTCAAATGCATTTTTATGGTGACATGTTGTGTGTTATCTGTCACATCATTCTTGACAGTAAGCGCTTAATATATCAACACTAATATGTGAGAAACGTCGAAATACTATAGCTGGTCGTCAGTCACATGCAACATGCGAGATTTAAAAGCAAAGGTAGTTCTTTGATTTAGTTTTGCAGTTGTTTCATCAATTAAAATTGTAAATAAGTCAGATGCAGTTTTTTAACTTGCTGTATTAATAATTATTTGTTAGCAATCTCATCGTTGTAATAAACTCACTCAGTGATCTCAGTAAATGATAGCAAAACTCTATCGAGCAGATTGAATCAGCGTGGACATCTTTTAGCTTACTACTACCATATCGTACTTTTAATATTTGTCACTAGAATTTTTTGGTTGGAATCAATGCTTTGGATTCTGATGCACAATCGAATACAAATTGGCTTGCTAACGTCTTGTTTCATTTGCTGCTTATCAAATACGGGTAATTTTTCTATTTACTTTCATTTTCCCTAACTACCGAAAATATATGAATTTCGTAAACAATGAAAAAGAGCTTCAGCTGAACACATAAGCAGACATACCGATGAAAAATATGCAGAATGTGTGAAAATGGATCCATAAAGTCTTGACATGAGTACTAAGAATACTTTCAACTATTACGAGAGGACAGAATGTTTTCAAAACTTATCTAGCTGTGAATACAAAGTTTATTTAATTCCAAATAATCTTTTTTCATGTGTTGTTAAACTCATTATTACAGAATCAAGATATGCATCCTATGGATTAACACTAACGATTTATGTTGATATTACAGTTGGGAATCGATCATTATGTAACTTTTGTGATAATCGAATTGATTTAAGGTGTGTTTTTTGCGCATTATTTTCGTAATAAATGATTTCTTTTTCCAAATTGTCATCGTCGTAATTATCTTGAGGACGTGTTATTGAAATGAACAAATGTGATTAGTTATGCATGATTATATAATATGAGGAACGGTAATGAGATTATTATAAGCATTACATTTCATTTCAGAATCACAACACATAATCTTCACCAATTATCAATTAATAATTTGTGGATTGGTTATCCTGAATCTTATTTTTCAAGGAATTGATTACTGGTGAGAAATTATCTTTAACAATCACTATTTAAGATGTCAATATTATTTTTAACTGTTGCAATTACTTATAGTAATTTGAAGTATTACCGTTGTCTTAATTATCATTTTTGACGAGGTTTTGTGGGGCATTAGTATTGTACAGTTAAAAAATTCTAATATCTATCTATCAGTAAATGTATATAAAATTAACGCATATCCACTACCCTATAATTTCTGCTCTCTGCAGATAATAGTGAATATTTTACATGATAGTCTTACTTGTTATCAAACATTTGTAAAGGTTATATTTGATCGACTTTTCACCAAATATGGAAATACCGTAAACGAGCAATGTTTTGTCATCTAACGGCGTATGTATATACTTCATTAGATCGTCAAGCCGTATGAAACTCTTCACATTATCGGTATACGCACGTTTTTTCACTAATATGTGTAAGCATATATTTCTTTAGTTGTCCATTTTGTACGAAACACGAAACTTTTTTTCGGAAATATTGCATATTTTCTTCATCGATTTATGTATTTATGTGATTTGTTTTCTGAAAAAGCGATTTTCGTTGATACTTAGGTGATTCTTCGTTTCAGCACTGCTTGCTGTACAATTTATAGAGCAAATCTCGCACTGAAATGATTTTTCACTGGTACGCGTGCGCAAGTATGTCTTCAAATTGCTAGAACATGTGAATCCTTTCGCAGACGTCTTGCATATATATGACTTTTCATCCGTATGTGTGCGCATGTGCTTCTTCTAGTCGCAAAATTGTATGAATCCTCCTCCTCACATTCTGCATATGTATGGCTTCTCTCCGGTATGTTTGCGTTTGTGTTCAGTTAAAGCTCTGTTTGTAGTCCGAACCTTCGGACTTATTAAGGAAATTGTTAGATCGAGAAAAATTTCTGTAAACACTGCTCGCCTGAATATTGTCCATACTTGTTGAATTTCTATCTTCCATTATGTGCGATAAATTATTGGAATGAATAGGTCAAATGCCATTTTCGGTTCTGAGTGCTTTCGACAAATGTATTGTTTTTTTTTCGATTTTATTTTGTCTTATAATAATGAATTAAAGCGAGCTGTAATATTTTGCAAAACCAGTAAAGACAGAAACACAAGTTGATGAATTTTCATACATTCGTAATGGATTCTGCAAACTGCAGTTGAAGAAATAATCATAAAAACAAAAGCAATCATAAAGGTGAGCGATATATCTCATAATGTGTCTGTAACCAGCATTGTACACTATTCGTGAACTTTATTTGACTTATTTCAAAAATTTTTAGGAACAAAGCTCTGCAAATTAGATTACCACTTGCAGTATTTTAGCGCTTTGCTTGCATCCAATATTATTTTGAATATGGGAATTTGTGAGGGGTAACAGCGGATTACCGAATTCTAAATTAAGGAGTTACATCTTTCAAACAAACTTCATGACATAAATATAGCTTGTGCTCTGTATGGAAGCAAGCTGAGATATTATTAACCCCTTTGTTTGCATCTGATTTTCCAAAAAGTGTCGCGGCATGAGATTACAAGCAGTTAAAGAGATATGCAACCATATACGCGTATCATTAAGATTTATTGAATATTTTGGCTTAGAATCATAAGAGATGGGTGATTCATTAGTCAGGATATTTTGGTATCTTTATAAAAAGAAAAACTACCTGTAAACATGATAAATCAGGAATTTGTATTTCTCTTGCTTTCACAGCATCATTTTAATATTATATTTCAGTTCAGAATGAGTTCTAACACAATAATCTAGAAAGAAATTAATACTTTAACCAAAAAAAGAGGAAATGGAACGAAATTAAATAGAAATTAATGGGAAGTGCCTTGGTCAAACTTCAAATGCCATCTTATTAAATTATCGATCAGTACATGACCTTGATATGCTATGTCATATATAAAAGTTCCTAGCAATCAACCATTTGTATCCGAGATTAAAAACCAAATATAATTCATTGCAGATCTCAACTTTCATGCTTTAATCCTTTTGAGCATAGTAATGAAACACACCATGTAGAGATTCATCATTTAATTACTGCAAATCGCATATCAAAAGTATTCAAGAATTAGGACGTGAAGCATATAGGTCTTGATTATAGATGACTTACTATTGTTATTTGAGAGTTTAAATAATGACATCATTATTTATTTTTATAGGAAATTTGCCTAAAATTGGAAAAAAATGTACCATGAATTTTTGTTACTATACAAATTTGGTTAAATCAATACTAATCAAAATCAAGGAATTCCTATAACGACTTCAGTAAATTCCGAGAATATAATCCCAATAAATTAGTCAATAGCGGTTATAAAAGACCGGTTGTTATTGTGTTTAAAATCAGACTGAAAACTGAAATCAGGAGCATAAAAAGCTTTTCTGCTTTTCGGTGGTTCGGTTGTATTCAAGCTTCTTGCTCGTAAAATCAGATATTTTATCCTTGTGTCAGTATATTACTGCGATTATTGCATTATTATCCGCATATTCCAGAAATCATGAGATTCTTGTTTCATTTTATCATTTATTGACTCATTTTTGCAAGTTTATGAATAATTTTATCAGTAGTATTTGCTTTTGTTTTTGTGTCAGCTATTTTGCGTCAAAGTAATATAATAATTAGTTGAATAAATTTTTAAAAGTTAAAAAGATATTATTATTTACTTTTTTGTAGTTTTAATTCATATCAGTTTTATGCCAAAATTGAATTCTTGAAACAGAATGAATAGACAGTAATGAGCAAAAAAATTTCAAACTATGATTCTAACTTTGTGATAATGTTATCTGATATTTTAAGTAGTAGTATTACTATGCAAAGCGTAAGTGAATTATTATTTTGTTACACTTCCCGTACTATTTTCACTTTGAAATAGCTCCGCTTTTTAATTTTTCCCTCCAAATAACTTTTTTTTCCGATTTTTAAAAATTTTTTCTTGAGTTTTATTTGTTGAAATCTCGTCTATTAAATATTTAAAATCAACTTCTTTTTTGACCTTTTTTTGCCTTTGATTGATTAGATTTTGAGATTTTGCCAAATTAGAATGCACTCTTTTTATTTTACAGTAATTTTTCTTTTTAGTTCATTTTTCTAAATGTTATTATTTTGAATATTTTTTATATGTTTTCTACGATTTGATTTTCAGATATTTCACCAGTTTCGAATGATTTTTTCACGGTTTTTTAATTTTATTCTCGAGAATTTCAAATGTTATCTAATTTAAAATCAACATTTCGTGCCTTGGAAAATAAGGATGGTTACAGATGCACAATTGATCCATTTCGCTCATCCACACTATACATCAGAATGATACAGAGAAGGAAATTAAAAAGTAATGAGGAAAGTTCAGTGTTAGATCATTCCTTATTGAAAGATATTGGTGAAGAAAAAGGAAACGAAATAGATGTACACGATGAGCAGCAGACTTCATCAAGGCTTTCTTCAATGGTTGAATACGATGAGTATTTTGGCGATGACAGTGATGATTCTATGTATGTTAGAATCTGCAATTATTTTACTCAGATATTTCGGATCTGCTTGCTACTTCAGTTTTACTAGTGATTTACTGAAGTATTAGTAATTTTTTGCTTTATTTCGGCATTCTTAATACGGCATTATTATTGGATAAAGTTTTTTTTAAATACTAGATTACTGTTCCAATGCTAAAGATAAAATAGGATCAGATTTCATTGATATTATTTTTTACCAGTCTTGTATTATGTACTTTTATTTGTGAAAATTGTTTTGTGTTCCAGTTCTTTGCTTTAAAAATCACCATAAAAGCCGCTTGTTACTAAAGAACCTTCATTAAGTTTAGGGGAAAAAAGCGAAAAATTACAAAACGTGAATTGGATTGCATACATTATCGACTTATCAATGAACGTGTTGTAAATGACGTTACTTTGGAGTTTTTCTACAAACCGCGAACTGTTACAGTACTTATTATAATTTGTGCACTGCTTGTTATTCTAGCATTCAGTAGGTAGGGTATTTCTACTTAATTCGAACTTCGTTCCGAAAGTACTAGAGTTCGATAAGTCATTTGCTTGATGTCTACTAATTTTGATTTTTTTTGCCTTTCACAAATAGCAGATTTTATATCTTCTTTTCAAATTAGTTGCAAATACTTTTTGTTTTTTCATTTTTTTAGTACATAATGCCTTGCATTACAAATTTTTATTGCATAATTTGGTGGGCTAACAAAACTTTGTCCACATATTAAGCTTGAAAGCATTAAAATTATGCATTAATAATCTTTTCAGAAATGACTCCACTTCGGGAAATAACGTTTATGCTGGCATTACCGCTGCAGTTGTCTTATTTCTTGTTGTCAGTGCACTTACTTTTCCAAATGGTGAAGTTTTTATGGTCATAGGAGATTATTGTATTCTTCAATCAAGAAAGCAGTATGATTAAAGAAAGATTTCAGGTCCATTTATTCGTCCGCATCCGGTATTCTGGCGTATTATTTTTGGTATGAGTGTTCTGTACATAGTAGTGCTTCAGTTCACATTGTTTCAGAACTTTCGGGACATTAAAGAAGTACTGAAATGGCTTGATCCAGAAGGCCTAAGCAAAGACAAATTAGAAGAAAAAGCTAGTTTTTGGATCATATTTGCGCTATTTAATTTCCTAAATTATCAATTAAAATCTAGAAATTCACTATATCATTTTAAGTCCTTGACTAAATTGTATCTATCCTTCAGGAATATGCAGTTAATTGCTCTGATATCACATTAGAAAGATTTTGGAGTTATATGGATATATTTGCAGTGGGTCATTTTGTTGGTTGGGCCATGAAAGCATTACTTATACGTCATTCTATCATTTGTTGGTATATCAGTATTGCTTGGGAATTGACTGAAGTAATTTGTTAAGAATAATTTCATTTCAGATGAAATAATACATTTTGTATTTTTATTATTATTTCAATTTTCTCCCTTAAATTGGGCGTTGTTGCAAAATTTTAAAATATTATGATCACTCATAACGAACGAATCAAAATAAATTAAATTTTGACCGAAAGATGTATCATCTCAATATTTTCTTGAAATTACTTTCTTCTCTTTGAGTAAAAAAATTATTATTATGTATTATTTTAACCCAATATGTTTTTGGTTGACAATCTTATTTTTCTACATGTTAACATTTAGAAACTTGATTTAAGGCAAAATTGTTGTGGCTAAATTTTAAAATAGTGTTTAGTGAGTAATTTTTTAATTTTAGAAGCTTAGCTTGATTTTGACCACGAAAATATCAGATTATCAAGTTTTTTGAGCTCTCTATTTAAATTATGCAAAAACCTGATGAAATATATGAAAAACTATCGTGGAAAAAACGCGCAGCTTTTGTTGAGTAGAATAACATCATTATAAGTAAAAGATATAAAAATCAAATTTTAGGTTTTGTTTGCCCATTTATTACCAAATTTTCAAGAGTGTTGGTGGGACGCGATTGTTTTAGACATTTTACTTTGCAATGGACTGGGAATATGGTTTGGAATATGGTTATCACGTTTTTTTGAAATGCGTCAGTTTCATTGGGAAAGCATCAAGTAAACAGTTTGAGTGCTGACAGTTTAGCTTGCTCTTCATTTTATTTTTCTGAAAACTTTTAATTAGTGAAATTAGGACATTTCGGTTCAGGGATATCAAAACAACTCGAGGAAAGTTTAAGCGTGCTGTACTTCAGTTTACGCCTGAAAGTTGGATGAAAGTAAATTGGTATAATAACTGTGCTCTCAGAAGAGCTTTGGCAATTTATGGTTTTGTATTAATTTGGTTGGTATGTTTTATGTTTGTGTCAAGATTTCGTCTGTAAATATCTCATTCGAATCTAATTTCTGCATTCTAAATTTCAATAGATCCTAAGTTTCAGATTACGGAGTTAAATACTTTTTTCCTGAAGCACATATTTGCGGTTGATACTTCCCATTCATTGGTGCTTTCAAGGATTATTTTAATTGCCTTTATATCGGCGCCGACAATTCGTCAGTTCTATTTGTTCGCCACTGATCCCCGCATCAAACGCATGGGCATGCAGAGTTGGGTTTACTTAGCTATTTGTACTCTGGAAGCTTCTATTTGCATCAAATTTGGTCGATCACAGCTTCCTTCCATCAAATTTACTATGATTATTTGGTGGATCTGTTTCATGGTGCGTTTTGATACATCAGTAAGAGTGATAAAATCGTTGGTTTCGCTATTTTAGTTCGATTTTCAGATATTTTAGTAATTTTTAATCACTAGGTAGAGTTAGTTTCAGGCTCTCGGCACGTTTGCATCCGTGTGGATGTCGGTATGGTGGGTGAAGACTTTCACGGTAATTTGATTTGAAATTCATTACTTTTTTCTGGAAAGCATCTAAAAATCCAAATTCAAAACATTAGTTTTCAACATCAATGTTATAATGGATCTAAATATTTCTTAAAGAAACTTCAATTTTAATACTTTTATAAATGTGGATTTTTTTCAAATTCAAGTGTCTGAATGTTTTGTGGTTAACATAACCCTCTTACATTGCTTAGGAAGTCTGATGGGATAAAATCATAGTTTCATTTTATTATGCCTAGCGCAAAAGACTTGCAGAAATCTTTATTTGCAGGAAACAAAAAAAGTAAATATAGGTGGTTGCTTGCGGGACTGTTATTTAGATTCCAGTCATGAAAACCTTGGTGCACTTGCAGATGAAGTGAAGGCTCGCAGAAAGCGATTGCACATATCCGAGTCTGATTATACTGCATAGAACCAATTCAAATTAGTATTTGCTGTTAAAGTTTTCTGTGCATTTCAGTTTTACTTGTTATGAGGGCCTAAACTTTTATAGAGATGCTTTTATGAAATTTTGGTGCCTCATCTGAAGAGAATTCTATTAAAAGGAAGGAAAATGTGTTTAGGAAAAAAAGTTTACTGTTTTATTTATTTATTTATTTATATTAAATGATCTTCAAGAAGTTACTGGTGAAGTATGGAGCATGCTGCGTTGGCTATAACTTTGTTCCTCATTGTTTCATTCTCTTTTATTGCAATGACAGTGGATCTTTTTATGCAATGACAGTGGATGTCTGTATTTATTGTCAGTGAAATAATTCTTTACTAGTCCTATTCAGTTTCAAAGACGGAGATGGAAATCCATTCTTGACTAAATTAAACATCACATATTTTAGGATTTCCGCAAGTACTCTATCTTTATGGATTTCTCAAGTCCGAATTTGTCATCAAACAGATCAGGAATTGACTTTTTGATTATCCTGCTTTTTTTTATGATTTTAAATTGTACAATACTTCTTGTTATCCTGTGAATTATTCCACCAAAAGTTATATTCGTTTAAATCAGATTTCTTCACAATTTTGATTCGCAGTTTAATCTATATATGCCCATGTTTATGTGGTTTTTAATTTAATGGAATAAAACTTCTTCAAGAGTTCAAGCCATGCATTGTTTTTTGTGCTAGTAGACAGAACGAAATTGTTCTTTACTTACTGATCTGCGATGGTACTTGACTGATTATATATGAGCATTCTGTCGCATAATTGGTGACTAACTAGGCTGTTTCTGAAATTATGGATAGTTTGATTTCCTTACTGCATATTTTATTTTCTTTAGTACTCAAAACAGCTTGCTGTCAAAATATGATGAAAAGATTTCTTAGTATTTGATGATAGGAATATGATTGTAAATACAGTAACCAAATATTATTTTTCGCTCTTTTAGATGTCGCTGAAATATTACTGGAGCTGTGTTATGCTAATTTTGTGACTTAATTTTCAATGATCGGTATTGCATTACCGCATTTTCGAATTATTTGTACTAAAAGTTTTTGTCGCCAGAGCAGTAACGAAGTTCGTGTACGTTTTGCTCCATCACCAACCGGTAATCTACATTTGGGTGGCTTAAGAACTGCACTTTACAATTTTTTGTTTGCTCGATCACGTGGAGGTAAATTTGTTCTACGAATTGAGGACACTGATCAAGAACGTTTAGTGCCTGGTGCTGTACAGCAGGTCATTTTTCTATTTTCTATATCCATGAAGTTTCTAAATTATATTCAGATTTTTTGTGCCTAGCAATCAATTTTTATAGAATTCAATGAATAAAATATTTTTGGTCTATATTGAGTATTACGGAATTTGACTTTTCAAACTTTATATTTTTAGTGAGTTAGTCTTTTAGTCGAAAGTTTGATAATAAGAAGCATTTTGTGCCAATATTATTTATAAATGTTTTATTTAAACCAATTTGTTTCTTAAATTATCTAAATTATAATTTTTATTTCAGATAGAAAAAACATTAGATCGGTATAAACTTTTTCGAGATGAAGGCCCTTCTTGCGGTGGAAAATTCGGACCGTATACACAGTCGGAGAGAAAGTATTTTTATCAAAATGCTGTCCAGCAATTAATTGATAATGGCCATGCATATCGATGTTTTTGTTCCAAAACAGTGAGTATTTTAACTCTCTATAAATTAAATTTTCAGAATAAAGTTTTAGTTCGAGCCGACAGTTTTTAAACATTTATCAATGTAATTTGAGGTCAGTTTTAGGAAGAAAATTTTGGATAATCTTACTTAAGAATTGTTTTCCACAGATTTGAAATGAATAATTCTTAAAGGTAACCAATATCATGTTTTCCTTCTTTTAAATTGAATATACGAAGATGAATGTATAAGATTAGAACCATTTTGTAATGACGCAGCGAAGAATACTATTTGCATTTGTTTCTGCTAATTTTTGCAAGGGTTTAATTTTTATTATTTTCTTTCTCTAGCACTTCTGTTTTCATTGACCATTTTATATTACTACAGCGTTTGGATATGTTACGCCGAGAAGCAGCTCGACGCAATGAGGTGCCCAGGTATGACAACCACTGTCGTGCACTTACCAAAGAAGAAGTGGAAAAGAAGTTAGAAAGAGGAGAGAGTTATGTCGTGAGATTCAAATTAGAGCAAAAAGAAATGTCTTTCAACGTACGTAAACATTAGAATTCTTCATATTTATGGTCATACCATGTTTTTCAGCTAGTAAACTGCATTGAGCATTAGAAACATTTTACTCAAAGACTCATTTTCAGGACGAAATTTTCGGAAAAATTACGCAAAAAACCGACGAAGGCGATTTTATAGTAATGAAAACTAATCTATATCCAACATACCATTTGGCAAATGTTGTCGATGACCATTATATGCAGATTAGTCATGTAATACGAGGATGTGAATGGCTTATATCTGTTTCAAAACATTTGCAGTTGTATCAGTAAGTTA